CCGCCCCATCATCCGCATCAGCGTCATCATCATCACCATCACCATCAGTATCAGCATCATCGCCATCAGCATCATCATCAACATCATCACACTCACCATCGTCGACATCATCATCATCATCATCAGCAGCAGCATCAACATCATCAAGGACATCATCATCATCATCATCATCATCATCACCATCAGTATCATCATCATCGCCATCAGCATCACCATCAACATCATCACACTCACCATCGTCGACATCATCATCAGCATCAGCATCAACATCATCAAGGACATCATCATCCTCATCATCGTCATCGTCATCACCGTCAGCCGCCTCCTCATCATCGCCATCTCCATGAGCATCATCATGCGTATCAGTATGATCATGAGCATCATCACCAACACCATCATCATCAGTATCGCAATCAGCCTCGTCGACATCACCAATATCATCATCATCAGTATCGCCATCATCCTCGTCGACATCATCATCATCAGCATAATCATCATCATCATCATCATCATCATCATCATCGTCATCATCGCCATCATCATCCTCGTCGATATCGCCATCATCATCATCGTCGTCATCATCAGCATCATCGCCAACATCAACATCGTCAGCATCATGAGCACAATCGGAATCATCATCATCCTCCTCATCAATATCATGATCATCTTCACCGTCATCAGGATCGTCACCATCAGGATCATCATCGTCAACTTCATCATCACCGTCGTCATTATCAGCATCATCATCGTCATCAACATCAGTATCTAAATCGTCATCCTCATCATCACCGTCGTAATCATCAGCATCACCACCATCGTAATCATCATCGTCAATGTCATCACAATCAGGATCGCTGACATAACGTCTGACGTCAGGAAGGGCGTCCCGTCTGACGTTCGGTCTGACGTTCGGTCTGACGTTCGGTCTGACGTCAGGTCTGACATCAGGCCCGACACTGGTCTGACGTCAGGTCTTGCGTCATGTATGGTGTCGGTCTGACATCATCCTCATCATCATCGCCGTCGCCCGCGTCATCGCCATGATCAACGTCATGGTATGGGCATCACCATGGTGTCGGTATCACCATGATAACCACTAGGTGTCATCCCCAACACCATTAGCATCAACATCATCGTCATCATCGTCGTTGTTGTCGTCGTAGTTGTAACCGTCATTGTCATCGGCATGACCATGACCGCCGTCATGACATCATAATCAGCATCATCAAAAACATCAGCCTAGTCATCCTCCTCTCTTCCGCGTTTCACCATCTGGTTTCACCACCGTGTTCACGTTGGTCTCGCCCGTTGCACCACTGTGTGTCAATTGATGTATTCCCTGCATGTATTAGTACATGTGCACGTGTACGCATTAACACATCTCTTCATTCTCTGAAAATTCCGAAATAAGGAATGCGAGACGAAACGGAAAGAGCGCCCATGCAGCGACTGTAAAAAAGGCTGAGGCAATGCTGTTCTGAGTGGTATTATAATATCGGATGTCTCCATCACCTTCACATCATCATCATCATCATCATCATCATCATCAGCATCATCACCATCAGCACTTTCATCATCATCATTATCATCCTCATCCTCATCATCATCATCATCACAATCACCTTCATCATCATCATCATCATCACCAAAACCATCATCATCATCATCATCATCATCATCATCATCGCCAACACCATCGCCAGCGCCACCTTCATAATTATCACTACCATCATCACCCCATGCATGCCCATCATCATCAAAAAACACCATCGTCGTCATCATCACCATCGTCATCATCGTCGTAATCGCCATCATCATCATCCTCATCCTCATCATACTTATTAGCATCATCAGCATCGTCAGACATGTCATACACATCACCATCGTTACTATCATTATCATCATCATCACCATCATCATCATCAGCATCACCATCGTCACCAACAACCTCATCATTGTAATCGACGGTCGGTAACGGTCGGTAACGGTCTGCAACGTCAGGTCTGACAAATTCAATTCGTCAGATTGAGGGCTCGGAAAAATCGGTAACGGCGTTACCGACCGTTACCGATTTTTTCGGTAACGGCGTTTTCGGTCGCGACCGCTCGTTACCGAATTTTTCGGTAGCGACGTCGTTACCGGTCTTTCCATTTCGCTACCGAAAAAAATCGGTCGCGCATGATCCGGGCTAAGATTGTCATCGCCTCTTGGCGTGTATCAATCCTAGGGATAGGGACAAGTCCGAGGCTGGTAACCCGCGCCGTCCTGCAGGGCGTCGGGGCGGCAGGCCCCCCCCCCCCCCCCGGCGGGGAGAGGAGCCCGGCCGCCCAGGGGGGAGGTCCCGGCCCCGCGGGAGGCGCGCGCCGAGGGCCGCCCCTTTTCTTTTTGGGGGTCGGCCAGGCCGCGGGGGCCCGCGCGCGCGCGCGTCTCTCGCAGGGAGGCGGGCGGCACTCGCGGCGGAGGGGGCGCCCGCGCCCCGCTGGCGTCGGGTCGGGCGTGTCCGCCCCACAGTCACGTCGGGCCTGGCCCCCAACCAGGGGGATCTGCGACGAAAAGGTAAAGATGTACCCCAGAAATGCCCCCCCAAAAGGCAACAAAAATATGCAAGAAACAGTCCCCCGACTATTTTTGGACTATTGTTTGACTACTTGTTGGGGTAGCTTTCATTTGTCATCGAAAATCCCCCTGTAGGGGGACAGGCCCGACTGAAGCCTACAGGCGGATCTCGGACGAACAAGAGACAATAGCCAAAGCATGCCCAAAAAGAATCAACAGTAGTCCCCCCAAAAATACCCTGCGACGTACCCAACCCACGTGCATCAAGTGGCAAGAGGAGTAGGCCAACATTAGCAGGAACAACGATAATGTAGGCGATGTGAATTGCTGTGCAAACTACGTGGGATGCGCACGCATTGCACGGCTCACAGGACGACGATCGAAAGAACGACGCTTCAAGCCCCAGGCTCGCGTATGACGTCACTCCGCTGGGCCACCCAGCAGCCCTCGAAAGTGGTGAGAGTTTCGCAGATCGCGGCCCCCCAAGGATGACGAGGTCTAATCTGAATCCGAATATGTCCCCACTCCGCTGGGCCCTCCAGCAGCCCTCGAAAGTGGCGACAGTTTCGCAGATCGCAGCCCTTTGGGGATGACGAAGTCGAGCCTGAGTCTGCGTAGGACCCACTCCGCTGACCCCCCAGCAGCCATCGAAAGTGGCGACGGTTTCGCAAATCGCAGTCCCCCAGGAATGGCGAGGTCGAATCTGAGTACCCCACTCCGCTGCCCCCCCCCCAGCAGCCCTCGAAACTGGCGACAATTTCGCAAATCGCAGCCCCCCCCAGCGATGGCGAGGTCTAATCTGAGTCCCCGTGGGGGCTCACTCCGCTGGTCACCCCAGCAGCCCTCGGAAGTGGCGACAATTTCGCAGATCGCAGCCCCCCAGAAATGGCGAGGTCTAATCTGAGTCCCCGTGGGGTCTCACTCCGCTGGGCCCACCAGCAGCCCTCGGAAGTGGCGACGGTTTCACATCACAGATCGCAGCCCCCCAGGGATGGCGAGATCTAATCTGAGTCCCCGTGGTGCCTCACTCCGCTGGGCCCCCCAGCAGCCCTCGAAAGTGGCGACAGCTTCACATATCACAGCCCCCCCAGGGATGGCGAGGTCTAATCGGAGTCCCCGTGGTGCCTCACTCCGCTGGACCCACCAGCAGCCCTCGAAAGTGGCGACAGTTTCGCAGATCGCAGCCCCCCCCAGGGATGTCGAGGTCTAATCTGAGTCCCCGTGGTGCCTCACTCCGCTGGACCCACCAGCAGCCCTCGAAAGTAGCGACAGTTTCACAGATCGCAGCCCCCCCAGGGATGGCGAGGTCTAATCTGAGTCCCCGTGGTGCCTCACTCCGCTGGACCCACCAGCAGCCCTCGAAAGTGGCGACAGTTTCACATATCGGGAGAGGGGAGGAGAGGAGGGGGACGGGAAGGAGGAGAAGGGAAGACGCGCGAGCAGTGCTCTATTCAAAACGAGTACCCAACCAAGGAGGGTTGGGAAGAATCAACAGTAGTCCCCCAATAAGAAGGCCCCCAGACGATTGTGTTTGACAATGTTTGCATTGTGCTCCTGGAGAGGACATGCCCGACTTGACTCTATCGGGGACTCCACTCATGGATACTCTGGCCAGTGCCCCCCGGCGAAAACCCGCTCCTCCCCGATGTGGGCAACGCTGCCATGCCAGAAAGAGGCCCTAAAAAGAACAACTTCCGGCAGTGCTCCACAGTACCCGTTCGGGAGTACAGGCTGCAGTCGGGGCGCTGACCTAAGGAACCCTAAGTAAGGAACGAGGCCCCTTTTCTCCAGAAGTTGAACTTCGATTTCCGATCGAAAACATAACATAAGGAAAACCTGAGGCAAGCTGCGAAACACTTAAGGAACGCGGAGCCCCTCCCCAACGAAAAGGGTTCCTTCTTCAGCGCCCCGACCGTACCCGTTCGGGAGTACCCGCCACGGGGCCGCCGAGGGCACGGCGCGCCGTCCACGCTAGGGGCCACCGCCGCTGGCGGCGCACTCCGCGCGCAGGCTGTACACCGGCTGCCCCGGACCTTGCGCTCTCGGTCCCTGGCCGGGAGAGCCCCGCACCGCATCTTACCAGCCTCGAACGTACCCCTATCCCTAAGATGGGCGAGCACAAAGCGAGGACAATCTTAGGGATAGGCCCTCAGAAACTGAGGGAATCCTTAAGATCGGCATCGAGGTGAGGTGATGTCAAACATAGGGTAGGGACATGTTTCAAACTGGTAAGCATCGGTGGGTCGGGTCGGCGATGGCGCAACACGTCGGATCGGCGGAAGTCGGCAGACGCGTCGGCGGGAACCGGCAGGCTGAGCAGGCCTCCGCGGAGGGACCGAGCCTCAGATCGCACTCGAAGGTCGAATCGGAGCGGGAGCGGAGGCGGTCGAGATCGGATCGGATATCGCGTCGGGGGAGTCGAAGAGGAGCCCCGCCGGGGCCCCTCACCGGCGGAAGGCAGGTCTGGCGAGCAGTAGCGCGCTGCAGCAGCACGCGGCCGCGACGAGGTGGACGCTCTCCGCCGTCCACGAGGGGGTCGCCAGCCCAAGGAGGGGCCTCGGGTACCACCAGCCGCCGAAGTAGCCCGCGGCCAGAACGGCCAGCGTGTTCCACAGCGTACCTTAAGTCGGGCGTGTCCCCTACAGGGGAAGTGTCGACGAAAAATTAAGAATACTCAAAAAGTGCTCCAGAATGGTCAGAAAAATCAAAAAGATTGTCCCCAGACTATTTTTTAACTAGTTTTGAATATTCCCCCTGTAGAGGGACAGGCCCGACTTAAAGCGTACCGCTCTTCTCTGCCGCCGGCGCGTGGATGCCCAGGTTGAGCCCAGCGACCACCGCGACGGCCAGTGAGCCTCCCCGGAACGCATGGTACCGTGGGTGCTTCTGGCCCTTGGGGAACGCGGGGGCCTCGAACTGCTCTGACATCGCGCACTGGAAAGTCTTCTGGATGCTGAACATGCATGCGGCAGTGCCCACGGACATCAGGACCTTGGGCAGCGTCGTGTTCTGGAAGCTGCAGTTGGGCAGCGTCGTGCTCTGGAAGCTGTAATTCGGCATGGTTCGAACGCGTGCGCTCTGGATGCTGGAGAGGGCGAGGCCGTAACGATCTGGCCTGAGGGCCCCAGACTCGCAACTGGCGCCGCCCTTGGCTAAGATTGCTGCGGAAAACGAGGGCGACCACGTGAACCGCCTCACGATCTTCACCCCGCCCCAATCATGGTCCGCGTAATGCTCCTGGGTTCTGCGAGCGCGGCCAGTCTGCCTGGTCCTCTCCAGACTTGGGAGAACGTCGCCATGTCTCCTTTGTGTCCTCCTGCAGGGAATCGCGGCGGCGGCCCCTCCGACAGTGAGGGCCCTGAAGAATGCCTCTGTGGGCCGGAGCCGACGAGGGCAGAGGATGGCACCGCATCGTCGAGGCATCGGCGTCGCGATCCGGATCGGGCCGCACCGCCGATGCGTCCGTGATGCGGCGCGATCCTCTGACCCCCTTTGGGCGAACTGAAACATCAATGTCTCTCGTGGAAAGGGAACCGGATCGCGGTGCGAAAGCAGGAGGGATGAGACGAGCGTGCCAGAAGAGGAAGAGCGAAGAGGAGGAACAGCAGGTGCAGGAGGGTGAACCCGTGAGGGGGGTACAGTGGAGGCCCTACCACGAGAAACACAGCCCTGAGACCCCAGGACGTCCACTGATTTTTGGTGTGGGAACGTCGCGCTCTCCACAGCAAAACCATCGAAACCCGAGAAACCCAGGGCACTGGAGGCAGGCAAGGTGCTCCTTGGCATGGGTTTCCACTCTATGGCTTGGAAGCGACGGCGAGGGTCGAACGCTGTCCCCTGACCCGGGGAAACTGGGGAGAGCACACAACAAAAACGGTAAACGCTACTCCCTGGACCTCTTCTGCGGTGCACTCTGACCAGGATGACGGTCGGGGCGAATCATGCTGTGGTGACGAGGACGGGGGGAGGCCTCCCCCCCGAAGGAGGCCTCCATGGCCTCTTACGGGGCGCCGTTGCCGAGGCCCCTCACGTCCTCGATGTCCTCTCGTCATCTCTCTCTCTCTCTCTCGTCCTTTCTGTCGTCCTCTCTCTCTCTCTCTCGCTCTCGCTCTCCCTCTCTCTCTCTCTCTCTCTCGGGGCTGCCCAAGAGAATGGGGGGGGCCTCCCCAAAGACGCCTCCCCCAAAACGGGGTGTGCAGCTCGCGAGGGCCTTCCATCAGCGGCCACCCTCCTCCTTCTCCTGCCCTTCTACCTCCTCCTCCTCCTCCCTCTTCCCTCCTCCCCTTCTCCTTCCTCTTCCATTTTGCCCCGTGCCCTTCTCCTTTTTCCTCCCTCCTGCCTTTTTCATCCCTATGCTGTGCCGAACTCTGCGGAGGCGAGTGCCGCCTGCCTTTTACTCCCTCCTCCCTCCTCCCCCTCGCCTGCCTTTTACTCCCTCCTCCCTCCCCCTCCTCCCTCCTCCCTCCTCTCTCCTCCCTCTTCGCTCCTTCCTCCCTCCCTCCTCTGCCTTCTCGTCCATCGTAACATCCTTTCGTCCCGTTTTCCCCCAGTGGGCACTGCCTAGAACCTAGAGGGATCCCTCTGCCCAGTGCAGGAGGGCTGATCTCGACCATGGTCTGAGGGGGTGCTCCTTGAGGACCCCCCGGTTCCACGAGGACGTGCCCCTCCATCCAATGACGCCCCCCTCCCCCCCCCCCACATTGAAAAGCGGCCCGATGCGACGCGATACAATTCAAAGCAGATGCAGCATAATGCAACGCAGAGGAGCGAGGCGAATCCCGCGGTGGCGACGAGGGCATCTGAGGAATCCCCCAAAGGGGGGAAAACGAGGCAAGGGTAGCGGTAACTTTGTCCTCCTCCGAGGAGGAGCGGGGGGGAGCGAGGAGGATAAGGAGCGAAGAGGAGGAGCGAGGAGGAGGAGGAGCGAGGCGGAGGAGCGAGGAGGAGCGAGGAGGAGCGAGGAGGAGGAGCGACCAGGAACGAAGAGGAGCGAGGAGCGAGGCCGAGCGAGCGAGGAGGAGCGAGGAGGAGCCTCCTTCCCCACGCGGCCCCAAGGGGGCCCCTTCCCTTAGTGGGCCCCGGACACGGCAGGGCCGTTGTTTCACCGTTTCCGAAAAAGTGTCCCTTGAAAATGGAAACGGCAAAAAAACGGCGACCGGAAACGGCAACAAAAACGGCTCCAGGATTGGAACCGGAGCGGGCACCCGTGAAGGAACGGCGACGGGAAACCGGTAAGCAAAACGGCGTCGGAACCTGCAAAAAAAACGGCAAAACGGAACCTGTACAAAAAACGGCCCTGTCGTTTCCAGGGCCCACTAGGCCCCTTCCCATGGGGGAGGAGGAGCGAGGAGGAGCGAGGCCGAGCGAGGAGGCCGAGCGAGGGGGCCGAGCGAGGAGGAGCGAGCGAGGAGGAGCGAGCGAGGAGGAGCGAGGCCGAGCGAGGAGGAGGAGGAGCGAGCGAGGAGGAGCCTCCTTCCCCACGCGGCCCCAAGGGGGCCCCCCCCGGGGGGGGGGGGGGGGGGGGGGCGCTGCCCCCGCGGGGCGCGGCGCCTGGGAGCGCACCGCGCGGGCGACGGCCGCGAGCTGGGCCCGCTGGCTGCGGATCTCCGCGACCAGGGCCTCGCCGTCGCTCGGCCCCCCCCTCCCTCCTCCCTCCTCCATCCCTCCTCCCTCCTCCATCCTCCCTCTTCCCTCCTCCCTCCTCCTCCCTCCTCATCCTTCCTCCCTTCCTCCTCCGCCCTCCTCCCTCCTCCTCCATCCTCCCCTCCCCCTCCTCCCCCCCTCCCTCCTCCTCCCTCCTCCTCCCTCCCCCTTCCTCCTCCCTCCTCCCTCCCTCCTCCTCCTCCCCCCTCCTCCCGCCCTCCCTCCTCCCCCCTCCCTCCTTCCTCCTCCCTCCCCCTCCTCCTCCTCCTCCCTCCTCCTCGCTCCCTCCTCCCTCCGCCCTCCTCCGCCCTCCTCCCTTCCTCCTCCTTCCTCCTCCCTCCTCCCTCCTCCTCCCTCCTTTTCCCTCCGCCTCTAACATGTTGTAGAAGCGTCTTGCGTTACAGCCCAAACCTGTAAGGGCACGTGGCAAGGACGCAGAACCCGTGGAGGCCGAAATTGGGGTGTTTTGGGCGGCAGGCGGCCGAAACCGCAAGGACGCAAGTGTACCCTAACCCGCTCCCGTCCTTGCCGCATTGGCGTCAGGGCCCAACTCAACGCGAGGACGCAAGCGTCCCTCGGACGCCAAATCGGCGCTAAATCGACGCCAAGTCGACGCCAAGTTGGCGCTATCTCATCGACTCTCAGACGCTAATCGATGCTGGTGGACGCTGAAGACGGAATCAAGAAGGTGTGCCGACCGAAGCTCCCACCCCCGCGCTGCGGGCGGGCGGCACCCCAGGAGGGCCCCTGGGAAGCAAAGATCATTGGCTTCGTCCAGTTCTTCAGCAGTTCTCGCGTGTCTGTCCAGCTTCCCGACCTCCGAACACCGCCAAAAGGGGCCTCCAAGGTTCGGCTACACGCGAGAGTGACCCTGGGTAAGAGTGACCTTTGCTGCGCGGCTTTTTGGGACCGCGGGGGGGCCAAACACAAGCGCGCAGGCCGCTGCTGCCGCTTCTCTCTCGGCCACCTGGGGGCCCGTCTGTGCCCGCACCAAAGGTCACTCCGGCGAAAGGTCACTCTTACGCCTACTCCAGATTTCGTAATGAAAGGGAGGGGGAAAAACGGGGAGGAGGGGGAATAGAAGGGCCACGTCATTCGACCCTTGAGCGTCCGCGATTTCGTCCCATCAAGCATGTGTGTGCAGGAGGCGTAGGAGGCGCGTCCGCCTACGATGAGCGTGGGAGGCGCAACGACGACCACCGTACAGAGGTGGACCGAAACGCGAAAGAGGCCCCAGCATCTGTGAAGGGGCCCAGGGACACACAAATGAATAGACACAAATAACAGGGTTCCCCATAGTTTCACACTTTTTTCTGGGTTTTTGTCTCCCCCCCACTTTCCATACTTGCCCATAGTTTCCCACATGTTCTGGGTAATCGACGATTAATTGTGTCTGTGCGTTGTTCTTCCTCCAGCATCTGTGCCTTCTGAACGCGGTCCTGGTGGCATTCATCGAACTCCTCGAACTCGGGCCCCGCCCGACGGAGCCCGCGCGTTCAGCTGCGCAACGCATGCCTCTAGGTACGGTATCTTGTAGGTTTCGTTGCTGTCCTCTTCCTCCTCCTCCTCCTCCTCCTCCTCCTCCTCCTCCTCCTCCTCCTCCTCCCCCCCATCCTCCTCCTCCTCCTCTTCCTCCTCCTCCTCCTCCTCCTCCTCCTCCCGCTGCCGTCTAGTCTCACTTCGAAACATTGTGGCCGAGCCATCGCGATCGCGATAGCAGCTGGAGTTAGACTTGGCCAAGCTCGAACCAGCAGCGCAATCGATTACTGACGCCATTCTTGTACCAGAGTCAGGGCTGCCAACCATGGCATAAAGATCGCATGTGCTCTGAGGAGGTCCTCCACAGCAGTCTAAACTTCATAACTTCTGCTTCATTCCAGGGGTGTTCCAGCGAAGCAGCGGGGGGGTCGGTTTTTTGCTCAGTATGGGGCTGGGGGGGCCAGGCGGACAGCGACGACGACGACGACGAGGGCGACGAGGACGAGGGGAAGGAGAAAGAAGACGACGACGAGGAGGCGGAAAGCCAGTACCCCCATCCGTCCGATCGGCCCAAGCTAAGAGCAAGGGCAGAAGGGAGAAACGCATTGAAATCACTGACACATTGGACCATATTGGTGCTACCTTGGGGTCAACTAGGGTTGGTTCAGGGGTCATCTTGAATTAGACTCGGGACAATCTCGAGATCGTCTCGGAGGCGGCGTTCGTATGTCACGGGATGTCCTTTCGAGGCGGTTCTCCGGTGCACATGGCGTTTTTCAACTGAAGCGCCCTTTCCCGGGGATCGCACCCTCTTGTTTATCAGGGAAATCTTGGGTCTCAGAGTTGTGTCTTCGGCCCCTGGGTTACAACAACAACAACAACAACAACAACAACAACAACAACAATCATTTTAAGACTGTTCGCCCTTATCTTCTCGAGTGTCGAATAACGCGAATTTCCCAAACCCTCGATACCCGCCCTTTTCGTCTTCGATCGAACCCCTTTTTGGGGGTATACCTTTCTTCCCTGCAGGCCGGGCCCCGGCAAGCGGCGGGGCGGTCGCGGACCATCGGCCTGGCCAGCGGCAGCGCTGATCGGCGGGGCGGCCGCGGACCATCGACCCGACCCCAAGAGGGCCGGACAGGGGACCGACCACGACGACGACGACGTCGACGACGACGGCAACGACGGCGACGGCGACGACGACGACGAGCGAAAACGAGAGCGAGGGAGAACGACAGCAGAGCCACGAAGGACACGAAGTAGGCCACGAAGGGCGACAGCGGGGACACGAAGGGAATGCGTAAGGGGCCACGAAGAGCGCGAACGAGCGTGGGCCACGAAGTGCAGGTGAAGGGCATGCACATGGGGCCACAACGGGCGCGAACGAGCGGGGGCCACGAAGGGCATACGTATGTTGGGCCGCGGAGGGTACGGACGGGGCCACTGAGGGCAGCAACGGGGACACGAAGGGCAGCGAGGGGGCCACGAAGGGCGACAGCGGGGCCACGAAGGGCATGCATATGGGGCCACCACGGGCGCGAACGAGCGGGGGCCACGAAGGGCATACATATATGGGGCCACGATGGGCAGCGAGGGGGCCACGAAGGGCTACAACGGGGCCACGAAACAAAGCGAGGGGGCCACGAAGGGCTGCAACGGGGCCACGAAGGGCTGCAACGGGGCCACGATGGGCAGCGAGGGGGCCACGAAGGGCTACAACAGGGCCACGAAACAAAGAGAGGGGGCCACGAAGGGCTGCAACGGGGCCACGAAGGGCAACGAGATGGCCACGAGGGGCTGCAACGGGGCCACGAAACAAAGCGAGGGGGCCACGAAGGGCTGCAACGGGGCCACGAAACAAAGCGAGGGCGCCACGAAGGGCTGCAACGGGGCCACGAAGGGCAGCGAGATCCCGATTCCTAGGTAATCTGTGAAGGAGTCCTAAGCGTGAGCGCAACTCCTGGGTGCCTGGGTGTCGGGAGCGCGGCGCTGGAGTGAATTGCAAGAAATTCCAACGCAAGGGCGCTATTCTTCAGAAAATTGCAAGCAAGTCTCCAGCGAGAGCGCGACTCCAGAGCGCAGGAGGAGCGATTCTTGAATAAATCGTAAGGAAGTCCCAGGCGATAGCGCGATTCTTGAATAAAATGCGAGGAAGTCTCGGGCGGGAGCGGGGGTCCTGGCTAAATTGTGAGGAAGTCTCAGGCGGGAGCCGTTGTTGTTGTAACCCGGGGGCCAGGGGGCAAGTTTGAGCAGGAAGATTTTCCTTGACAAAATCAAGGTGCGAGCCCCAGAGGAGCACTTCAATTGAAAAAAACAATGTGCACCGGTGGGGGGGATGACCAATAATTATTTTTCAGGAATGAGAGTTCAACAGCGGCTCCCGCCTGATACTTCCTCACCTTTCATTCCCAAATCGCGCTCTCGCGCGGGACTTCCTCACAACGTATGCAGACATCGCGCTCTCGCGTGGGACTTCCTCATATTTTTTCAGACACAGCGCCCTCGACACTCAGGAATCACGCTCTCGGTGTGGATGTCTTCACGATGCATTTGGGAATCGCGCTGTCGCTCAAGACTTCCTCGCAATTCATGCAGGACGCACGCTTCAGCAACCCGCCTGCTCGACCTGGCCGCCTGGGCCCACCTTCCCAATCCGCCTGCTAGGGTCTACCCGCCCGATCTGCCCGTCTGGTTCTGCCACGTGCTTCCTACCCCTATCCTGCTACTCTCTCTCTCTCTCTCGTGCTCCATTCTCCTCCCTCCCCCTTGTCCCTTCCTTCCATCCGTCCTCTCTTCCCCTGCCTTAACGGCTGCACGAAATACACATTGCAGGTAAGAAAGATATACCCCCAAGGGGGTTACGATCGAAGACGAAGAGGGCGGGTACCGAGGGTTGGGGGCACACGTGTTGAATGGCACGCGAGCAAATTAGAGCGAACAGTCTTAAAATGATGACTGGTGTTGTTGTTGTTGTTGGTTTCTGCTCTCGATGTTGGTGTTGCTGCTGTTTCTGTTGTGCGGGTCGCAGGGTTTGTTAACATCGGTGGTGGCTTTTGTTATGACCAAACCACAACGTGCCAGAGGATTTGTCAACCAAACCGAGGCCACGAGGAGCGCTTCTACATAAAACATGTTGAAGGTACTGTTATTTCTGTTGCCGTTGGTGCCGTTGTTGCCGTGGCCCGTGGTGCCAGCTGTGTTGCTAGTGTTGAAATGATATTCGTTTATGTATTTCCTGTTGCTGGTGATACTGTTCTTATCACTCGTATAACCTCAGGAGAACCCCGACAACAGATAAACCTGAAATGGCTCTTATGAAAACTACACATAAAGCTACGCCGTGCAGGCACACGTCTGCATTTTAAATGTGAGGAAAGCTGCATCAAATCGGGTTGTCCTGGCCGAAGTCGGATCGAACCGATCGGGTAGCTCAAAATCGCTATCGGATCACCATCGAAGCGAATCGAATCGTCCGAACATCAATATCGAATCGGCTCGATCGAAAACAATATCAACGGAATCGCATCGCCGGAATATCGGCGCTGGATTGCACGGGCAGAAGCAAAGCGAAGCGTGCTCGGCAGGGCGAGCGCTCGAACTCGCTGCGGGCGACGATGCGAGCCCGCGACTGCTACACCCTGCGAAATGCTTAAGAAATCATGGGTCAAGAAATTCATAGCCTCAGATCTTGAATAAAAACCAAACATTCTATTAAAACTTAGGATTTACATTGAAACGTTAAGAATAATCGAGACTCCGGCCGAAAACTCAAGTTTTCTTAAGCATCGCCTGAGGTGTAGTTCATCGCCCCCCCCATCTGCTTCCCCCAAGCCTCGTGGGCAGCGTGGAGCTCGCCCTCGTCGTCCTGGGCGGGCTTCCTCTGTCAGTGCCTCCCTCCCTAGTGGTCGTCGCTAAGCCGGAGAAGCGCCCGTGCGACTACACCAACCATAATCGGCGAGGGACAAGCCTCCCTTTAGTAGACCTCCTCTTTCCGCATTGTCGTCCTCCTCCTCCTCCTCCTCCTCCTCCTCCTCCTCCTCCTCTTCCTCACCCTCTGCCCATGCCTGCTCCTGTTCCTTCTCTCGGCGGTGGACAAACCTCCCTTTAGTAGACCTCCCCTTAGTGAAAACGGCCTGGGACCGAAACCGACGGACCCGGACCCGCAAACATGACGGCCGCGACGCCCTCTCGCGAACCGATTAAACGGCCAACTCCTGAATGGACGTGTCAGGGTGTAGGAGATCTGTCCACCCCCGACATAAGAGCGATACCACACGGCGCCCAGCTGCGGGACGGACCTCCACGAGCGCAGCGAGGAGGCGTCTGTGATGCGACTGCGGGCTCACGGGAAGCTCGCGGGGGACCCCGCCCTTCCTCCCTCCCTCCCTCGCTGCCGTCGTTCTCCGGAGAGGCGCGTGCGACTACACTCAAGGGGCCCAAGGACACACACAAACAAATACACACAAATAACATGATTCCCCATATTTTCCAATATTTTCTGGGTTTTTGTCTTCCCGCCCCAATTCCCATATTTTCCTATGTTTCCTTGGGGATCGACGATTCATTGTGTCTGTGTATGTTTTTTCCCCTCCTGATACACTAACCACAAGAGCGATACCACACGCCGCCATGTTGCGGGACGGACCTCCACGAGCGCAGCGAGGAGGCGCCTGTGCTGCGACTGCGGGCTCCCGGGAAGCTCGCGGGGGACCCCGCCCTCCCTCCCTCCCTCCCTCGCTGCCGTCGTCCTCCGGAGAAGCGCGTGCGACTACACCAACCACAAGAGCGATACGGTAGAGGGAAACAATTAATGAACACTCACCCTGCCCCCCAAATTCAACGTTGGCACGCGCGCGGGGGAGACTGCGGTCGAAATGCATCTCATCAGACTCACCGCCGACTTTGAACATTGGGGGGAGGGGGAGGCGTTGAC